ATGCCCTGAAAATAACTGAAGCCCTGGGGAGAGACGAAGCTCTTGAGATCCATCAGCAGGAAGGACAATACACAGCAACAGTTTTATGCCATAGCTACTGAGCGTAACACACAGCAAGGCCAGAGCAGGGACTGAGCTCACTGGTGCACGCTTTTATACCCAGCACTCACTGAATCCTTCCTCTGTGCCAGGGACAAGTTAGTTCACTTAGTCCTGTCAACAACGCTATGAGGTAGGCACTACTATTATCCTCATTTTACTGATGAGGAAGCTGAGGCACAGAGAAGTAAAATAATTTGCCCACACTCCCATAGGAACTGGGGCACCAGGAACTGAGTGCAGGCTTTCTGATTCTAGGGCCTTTGCCCTGAGACACACTGCTATACCACAAACCAAAAATACTTCCTATCATCATTCGGAGAAGCAAAACACCCTGGATATCACATAGGACTGAGGAAGGTCTAGAGTCACGACTGTGGGCTTTATGTCACTATCAGCTGGTGCTGGTTAAAGATGAGGGCCAGCCTAAGTGCCACCAGTTTTCCACTGAATATTAGTATAACTTCAGAGATGGAAGCCAGGGCATCCATATCCTTTCATCATTAAAGACCGTCTATTTAAAAAAAAAATAGTGGGTGTTACTCTTTTATTCTTTTGTGAGTGTATCATAGGATCATAGAACAATAGAATTGGAATTGACTGAGATATCATCTAGCAGTTGGTTAACATGTTTTCAGAGATAAATAGGGCTACATCCTATTTTAAATACCCATAACAGCCTATATATATATTTTTTTCACATAAGCCTATTTTCTTTGCAGCACTTTATATACACTGATCATTTACTTAATTACTTACAGTTGATGCGTAAAGCCTGTCTTCCTCACTAGAAGGTAAGTTCCATCAGGACAGAGAATGCTTCCATTTTGTTCATCAGTGTATGATTAGTGGAAACCCTGGTGGAGTAGTGGTTATAGAGCTACGGCTACTAACCAAGAGGTCAGCAGTTCGAGTCCACCAGGAGCTCCTTGGAAACCCTATGGGGCAGTTCTACTCTGTCCTGTAGGGTCACTATGAGTCAGAATTGACTCGACGGTAATGGATTTGGTTTTGTTTTGCTTTTGTTTTTTTCATATATTTAGTGAGGCATTGGTGATTCAGTGGTAGAATTCTTGCCTTCCATGTAGGAGACCCGGGTTTGATTCCCAGCCAATTTACCTCATACGCAACCATCATCTATCGGTGGAGGCTTGCGTGTTGCTGTGGCGCTAAACAGGTTTCAGTGGAGCTTCTAGACCAAGATGGATTAGGAAGAAAGGCCTGGAGAGCTACTTCTGAAAATCAACCAGTGAAAAGCTTGTGGCTCACTACAGTTTGATCTGCGATCATGGGGATGGTGTAAGACCAGGCAGCGTTTAGCTCTGCTATGCTTGGAGTTGACATGAGTCAGGGGGCCAACTTGACAGCAACTAACAACAACATATCTTCATATTCCTGGTATTCTGCCTGAACATAGGCGATATTTGTTGCCTAGCTGGCAGACTGGACTGACTCACTCATATAAGACAGACACTGCAGAAATGCTTGCTTCACTATCACCTATAGGAGTAGCTGCAAGATGCAATGCAACTTGATGGACAGGAGCCAGGATCCAGAGCCCGACTTCCATGATCCATCCCTGCTTCCACCACTTCTTAACTCTATGACCTTGGGCAAATTACATAAGTTCTCTAGCTTTAGTTTCCTCTTCTGTCAAATAGGGATAATAATAGTACCTCCCTTATAGGACTGTTCTCAAGAAAAAACGAGAGTCACTATAAGCATTTCCTAGATCAGCATACAATAATATGTGCCATCTCCTCAAAGTCACTACTCCACATCCCACCCCCTGACTATGTAGTAGAACAGTAATCACCAATGTAATGTGTCACCTATGAAAGGTTGCCAGCCTCTGCTCTAAAAAATGTAAAGTAGAGGACTACCTGTTCCAAAGCTTTCCAAAAAAGACTTTATAGCCTCTGAAGACAGTCTTTTCCAAAAAGTCATCACTTTGGTTATCCAGAAGTATTTATGTCTTATTAAAATCTTTGCTGTCTAAATTATTTTTTGCAAAATTAAGTCCAAACCCTCAAGTTAATTTAGGTAAGCCCATACTCCTTCATTTAGTTTGCAAAGCACTTCAAGATCTCACCTCTGCTTACTCCTGAGCTGTAGTCCTCCATCTTTCCTCCTCCAACCATCCATCAGAATCTGTCCTTTAAAGTGATACATTCTCTTTCACCTCCTGTTTATGTGCTGTTCCTTCTGCCTGGCTCATACTCCTGCCCTTCTTTGCCATAGGTCTCAGCTAAGCCACCACTTCCTCCGGAAAGTTTTCTCTGACCTCCCACGACAGTTTGAGATGTCACTCCTTTGAGTCCTGATGGCATCGTGCTCTTCCTCAGGGCACTCGTCACTTCTTATCATGAATTGCTTGTTTCCTTGTTTGCATCCCCCACGAGGCTGAATCCACCTCTGAGTTGTCTATCACTGCACCCCCCTGGTTAGTGCTCAATAAATATCTGTTGAATCAGTAAGTGAACAAATGGATAAGGAAAGTTAAATTCATTTTTTATTTTCAGTATGTCATGGATATAGGAAAACCACATCTTTCTTCATTTAAAAAATCTTTATTTACTTGAATATAATAATTGAGGTACAACTTAATCTTTTCTTCCCCCACTGAAACTGCCACAGTTGAATCTTAGGTTTAACTTAGTACAAGATAAGCCCTAATTTGGTCCAATGCATGTAGCTTCTGCATGTTTATATTCTAATTGACTACTACTGGTTTTTTTAAATAAACATCGAATGCTACATCTGTGTTGACTAAAGTATTTTTTAAAGGCTCAGCTATTTATTCAGGAAGCGTTTATCATTTTCATGTCCAGAGCACAGTACACAGTGGTAGGCCAGGGAATGGAGAAGGAAGGATAACCCTCAGTCCTTGCTGCCCAGGGCCGGAGTCTAGGTGAGGAGACAAGATTACCATAGTGAAAAGTTAAATAAGCAGAAATGCAGAGCACTTTAAGGTACCTGGTCACATTTTAACCCTTAAGCAGTCCTGAGAAATAAACAGAACAAATACAATTTATCCCCACTTACAGATGAGAGAAACTGGCTCAGAGATTAAATGATTTGCCAACTGATGCACAGGTAGGTAGTGATAGACCCAGAGCTCGAGTGCAGGTCTGTCCAGTTTCAAGTCCAGGTTTTGCCCTGCTGGACCATGCCACTTCCCATGTGCAAGGCCCAATGACTCTTCAGAGCCCAGTGAAACCCAAGCTTCAAAACCCTAGTATTTTGTAGGATCTGCTGAAAACATCTGCCTGAACATAGACAATCTTTGAAATCAAGAAATACTGACTTCATATTATGAGCCACTGCATAGGGAACCCTCCTCACCGGGGCCCAGAGGCAGGGCCAGCCATGGGACTTAGGGGGTGGTGATGTCCTGACAGATGTGGACCATCTCCATCCAGGCAGTTTGCTGGAGGAGAATATCATTTTATTCTCTTGATAGAAAAGGAAGAGCAGCCTATTTCAAGAAGTTATCTATCTTAATATGTGAACTAACAAATTCAAAATGACAATTTAGCAAGACATGGGAGTATTGGCTTTTTGCTCTACTTTTTGCTTTACATCAAATCAAAGAAATCTAGGTCCACATGAAGAAGAATAAAATTAGCATTAGGGGGACCATTAGTTTGTTTACCCAGCATAAAATTATGTCCTCTGTAAACGGGAATATCAAATAGCATAAAAAGCCTAGGTGATTTACATTTTCTTTTTGATTAGAGGATTGCATCAACTGTACTCAAGGAAGGAAAATCTCTCCCATTTAGCTTTTGAAGATCAAAGGGGCCATTAAATATGCCATATTACCAGCTTTTTTTTTTTTCTTCTTTTTTGGTTAAGGCTAGGGGGTACTTTACAAATTGAGATTGTCTTGGAGAAAAGGGAGGACTTTATTTTGGGTCATATGTAGATTATGTACTAGTTCACTTCCCTCAGGCAGAACCATATACTTAACCATTTATTCAAATCGGGCTGTCCTAGAGTGTAAGGTGCTCGATGACTTGTCTACTGAGTTTGTGTGCATAGATCTGACGACCAAGAAAATAGGAACTAAGAGGCTTTCAGTGAGCCAGGGTCTGATTCTAAGCCTTGGGGATCTTTCTGTAGTACATCTGATAAATCTACAAAGACAAAGGTAGTGGAAAGTAAAATCTTTGAAAAGGATGAACCTATGTAGGTATTCAGTTGGGATAAGATCTTGCTTTCCCCCTAAAAGGAGCAGATGGAGACAAATGTTGTCCAGGTGATAATCTCACCTGTCCGTATTTCCTTTCCTATATAGGTAGCCAAAGTGCGTATATTACCAGTTTGGGGGGTGGGGGGAATCCAATTTGATCTTCCCCAGCTGAAATACTTAACTGTGCATAAGTGATATCATTCCTCAAACTACAGTGATTCAGTGGTTTAACATTATAGAAATTTGTTTTAATTAGAAATTAACTTTCCACCATTTTTATTCCATGTTTTAAGGAGCTTGGATAAGTAAAACTTCTTTGGACTTACGTGTAGTGTATAGGCCTAATTTAAGCCTGGGATGTGTCTTTAACACATAGATAAACCAACCAGTTGCTTTTAAGGCAACCCGATTCATGGTGGCCCCACACGTGTAAGAGTAGAATTGTGCTTCACACAGTTTTCAGTGGCTGATTTTTCAGAAGTGCATCGCCAGGCCTTTCTTTCAAGGCACCTCTGGGTGAACGTGAACCAGTTAGCAGCCAAGCACATTCACCATTGCATTACCCAGGAACGCCTAACACATATATAATAAAAGGAAAATTACAGGAGAAAGATTGAGATTGATTTCAAATAAAATGATCAAACCGAATATAATGAATGAATTTATTCTGATTAAGGGCTTGACATTTCTTTTCTGCTTTGGGCAGACAACAACCCATAGACGACAAATATTCAGACCTCCGATATGACCCAAACTGGAAAAATAAAAAAGAGGAAGGGCAGTTGTTGACTGTGGAAGCATTGCCGGAGTCTCTAGCCAGCTCTACAGAAAATTTGACGTTGGATCCACTCTACCCTTCCAAGGAGACCTCAGTGGAACCCTCAGGGGGAAAAGACGAACAGAAGAAGAGCCCACAGAGCGAAGCCTCCTTACTAGGTAGTGAATTTTTAAGCCCAGACTGTGAGCGTTGTGCCCTTCGCAGCCAACCGTTTTCAGAGCTGAGTGATGGTGACCAGGAGGAGAAATCGAGCAACCTCTCTCAGTCCTTCAAGAGTTCAAGTTCACATAATGAGGTTTTCCTGCCAGGATCCCGTGGCCCTCGGCGAAAGAAGTCCATACAATATTTTGTGGAGAAAAACAAGCTGACTTTGGGATTACCCACTCCTAAAACTGACTCTTATCTTCAACTTCATAATAAAAAAAGGGGGGAAGCTCACCTAGAACAGGTACGTAGCAGCTACTTAAAAATCTCTTCTGAAGCTCTAAACTGGAATTTGTGTTTGTCTGAAATGGTTAGGTATCACTTCCTTTGGGAGGATGATGTCATCATAACCACCTAGCTGAGTGAAACAAGTGCTTCCATAAGATACACTACATGTTGCCCTCTTTGTAGAATAAGTGGAATTACTCCATGACTTCTTTTTTACTTTGTTTTTGTTTTTTTTATTGTTGTGCTTTAAGTGAAAGTTTACAATTCAAGTTAGTCTCTCATATAAAAATTTATACATACATTGTTATGTGACCCTGGTTGCTCTCCCTCTACTGTGACAGCACACTCCTCCTTTCTACCCCAGATTTCCCATGTCCATTCAACCAGCTCCTGACCCTTTCTGCCTTCTCATCTCACCTCCCAACAGGAGCTGCCCATTTAGTCTCATGTATCTACTTGAGCTAAGAAGCACACTCTTCACGAGTATCATTTTATGTCCCATAGTCCAGTCTAATCTTTGTCTGAAGAGTTGGCCTTGGGAATAGTTTTAGTTTGGGGCTAACAGAGAGTCCAGGGGCCATGTCTTCCAGGGTCCTTCCAGTCTCAGTCAAACCATTAAGTCTGCTCTTTTTACTAGAATTTGAGATCTGCACCCCACTTTTCTCCTTGTCCGTCAGGGACTTTCTGTCATGTTCCCTGTCAGCGCTGTCATTGGTGGTAGCCGGCCACCATCTAGTTCTTCTGGGCTCAGGCTGATGAAGTCTCTGGTTTATGAGGCCCTTTCTGTTTCTTGGGATAATACTTTACTCGTGTCTTTGGTGTTCTTCATTCTCCTTTGCTCCAGGTGGGTTGGGACCAATCAATGCATCTTAGATGGCCGCTTGCTAGCTTTTAAGACCCCAGACGCCACTCACCAAAGTGGGATGCAGAACATTTTCTTAATAAATTTTGTTATGCCAATTGACCTAGATATCCCCTGAAACCATGGTCCCCAGACCCCCGCCCCTGCTACTCTGTCCCTCGAAGTGTTTGGTTGTATTCAGGAAACTTCTTAGCTTTGGTTTAGTCCAGTTGACTCCACAAATTCTTAAGAGCAAAATAAAAGCGATCAGTGGCGTAAATGCTGTAATCATTCTAATTCAACTATTATATCCAAAACTCCTCCATTCAAGGAAGTATAGATAAAATACGGGATTGAGCCTTTGATTCTCTGTGTTTATTGCCTTTGTTTCCACTATAGTGCTGGTTCTTAACCTTTTTAATGCCTTAACACATTGGAGGTAACAGGATACTCATATCAATGACAGCAGCTCACATACAGAAGTGATTCGCATATTCTGAGTTGAGAATATCAGAATTCTGGTGAGAATGGGAGGGGTAGGGTATAATATGGTGTCTTTTTTAAAGTTTTCCAGGCAATTCTATTACCTTCCCAATCCCCACTGATAATCACTACCTGTCCTTTATTGTCCTATGCAAATGATGTGATATGAGTAAACCTTAGTGTCTCTCTATATACATTTGGAATAACAATAATGCCTTCTCCTCTTCATCCAATCATTTTGAGGGTAAATTCTATCCAAGATGATGGATCCAAAATCTTTTGGTGCTGGTAAACTCAGCTCTATTTCATGGACTTACATAAACATCATACCAATCCATGGACACAAGAAAAGAGTGTGGCTGGGTTAGTACAATCCATCACCCTACTGGGAAAACAGCTTGAAGTTCATCACTTACTAATGTGGGGTCATTTTCAAATATGAAAGAGAAATTGTTATAGTAAATATGAATGCTCATAGACCTATTCCAGATCCAAGTTGGTGTCACTTAAAGTGTTCTAACCTCTAAGTGTCTTCTGATGGAACGAGATACAAGAGGTGGCTGAACATTTCCTTGATTCAGAAATTCCCTTTATAGTTTTAAAGGATTATGTCACATCTCTGCCTTTGTAACTAACAGTAAAACAAAGGAATGGGTGTAGTATATTTAGCTGAATTATTAAAACAGAAACATAGCTGAATTCAGACAGACTTTTCAAGGTTATTGACCCAATTCAGATGTTCATATGCTTTTTTGTTCCATAAAATTGTGACATTTTGAATTTTGCTTGATTGCTCATTTAAAAATATGAATAAATTCAACAGTCCAGTATCTGTAGAAAATGTTTATAGCTAGTACTTTATCCCATGCTGGGATGATATTTATCATTATATTTAAAATGTGTTCTTAGAAGATGTCAATCTAAGAGGAGGGGCAAATAGTGAGGTGAAAAAAAAATAGTTATATGTCCAATAATAAAAGGGGAAAAAAGTCTGAAAATTTATTATAATTCTTTATGGATTTTCTTAATTGCTAATATTTCTTGATAGTTATAGCTTGATTTACTAAACAATATTGGGATGAGTAGATTGTCAGTAACTCCATACCAAAATTTTCTTTTAGTTAGTTTTGCCACAGAGGAAATTTTTAAAAATTCTAGGTTTGCTGAGTCTTTAAGCTCTTGAATTATTCTTGGAACTGGCCATTGAACTTTCCTCCCACTCCTTCCAGGTTCAGATGCCTCAGGGCTGATTGCTAACTGTATTTAAAATTGTTTCTTCTGACATATATTTCCTTCCTCTTACTTCTATTCTTTTAGAAGTTAGTTTGACCTATCAGTGACATAATGATATGTCCATAGCATAGAACGTGTCAGTAGCATAGACTGATGTGTTCTTTTTGAATCATCATTTGTATGTGAAACATGTGCAGGTCTTTTCTGCCAATATAGATTGCATGTTCCCTCTGGGCAGGAACTATGGTTTATACTTGTTTTTAATCTTCACAGTAACTAGTCTAATATACTGCAAGAGCTCAATAAGCATAAAAGGAAGTGAAAAATATACCTTTTCCATTACCTCCAAACTTTATTCTCTTTTGCATGACTTGAAGTTTATGTGGGGGAAATGGCATTTCTAGAGCAGTGCTTCACAATCCTGGCTGGATATTAGAATCACCTAAGAAGCTAATAACAAAAAGTGATTCTTGAGCTCCACCCAGACCAATTAAATCTTTGGGCGAGGTGCTGTTATGGATTGAATTGTGTCCCCCAAACATGTGTGTCAGCTTGGCTAGGCCATGGTTCCCAGTATTGTGTGATTGTCCACCATTTTGTCATCTGGTGTGATTTTCCCATGTGTTGTAAATGATGTTAATAAGGTGGGATTAGAGGCAGTTATGTTAATGAGGCAGGACTCAATCTACAAGATTAGGTTGTGTCTTAAGCCAATCTCTTTTGAGATATAAAAGAGAGAAGCGAGCACAGAAACATGGGGACTTCCTACCACCAAGAAACTAGTGCACAGCGTGTCCTTTGGACACAGGGTCCCTGTGCTGAGAAGCTCCTAGACCAAGGGAAGATTGATGACAACAACCTTCCTCCAGAGAGAACAGAGAAAGCTGGAGCTGGCACCTTGAATTTGGACTTCTAGCCTACTAGACTGTGAGAGAATAAATTTCTCTCTGTTAAAGCCATCCACTTATGGTATTTCTGTTATAGCAGCACTAGTTAACTAAAAGAGGTCCTGACCATCAGTATTTTTTTTTAGCTCCCCAGGTTTGAGAACCATTGTTCTAGACTAGAGCAGTGATTCTCAGCTGTAGCTTCATATTGGGATCACACAGAGAATTTAAAAATACTGATTCCTTGACCCCTGAGTGTACCTTCATCTGAGGTACACTCCAAGCATTGGGCATTTTCAGAGCTCCCTGAGTGATTCTAATGTTTAGCCAACACTGACCATCACTGATCTAGAGCAGTGGTTTTCAAACATAGTGTACATCAGAATCATCAGAATGGCTTGTTAAAACAGATTTCTGGACCTAACCTCAAGAATTTCTGATTCATAGGTATAGGGTGGGACCCAAGAATGTGAATTTTCTACAAGGTTCCAGGTGATGCTGCTGCTACTCTCGTGTCCACACTTCGAGAACCACTGATCTTTTGCTTCCCAAACTATAATGAGCTTATGAACTACCTGAAGATCTTGTTAAAATACAGATTCTGATTCAGTAAATTTGGGATGAGACTCAAGAGTCTGCATGCCTAACAAGCTCCCAGGTGATGCCAGTGGTGCTGGCCCACAGACCATACTTTGAGTAGCAAGGGGCTGCGAAAAGAACATAAAGGTTTTATCAGAAACCTAAAAGCCAAAGCTGTATAAGTCAATGCCCATAGAGCATTGATTTTTTCAGTGGCTGACAGGATTATTCTGTTGGTTTGGGGGTAGAAGGTGAGAAGGTAGGGGTGACAGGTTGGGAGGCTGTTGTTTTGGATCTTGATTTTTTTGTTGTTGTTGTACTTTAGATGACGGTTTACAGAACTAGCTTCTCATTAAACAATTAGTACACATACTGTTTTGTGACATTGGTTACCAAACCCATGACATGTCAACACTCTCCCCTTCTCCACCTTGGGTTCCCTATTACCAGCTTTCCTGTCTCCTTCTGCCTTCTAGTTCTTGCCACTGGGCTGGTGTGCTCCTTTAGTCTCATTTTGTTTTATGGGCCTGTCTAATCTTTGGCTGAAGGGTGAACCTCAGGAGTGACTTCATTACTGAGCTAAAAGGGTATCAGAGGCCATACTCTAGGGGTTTCTCCAGTCTCTGTCAGGCCAGTATGTCTGGTCTGTTTTTGTGAGTTAGAATTTTGTTCTATATTTTTCTCCAGCTCTGTCCAGGAACCTCTATTGTGATCCCTGTCAGAGTAGTCAGTGGTGGTAGCTGGGCACCATCTAGTTGTGCTGGACTCAGTCTGGTGGAGGCTGTTGTAGTTGTGGTCCATTCGTCCTTTGGATTCATTTTTTTTTTTTTTAATTCCTGGAATACAGTCTTCTGATTCTTATCTAAATTAAAAGTCAAATATTTAGTTCTTAGAACCACTTCCAAAGTGTTTCATGGAAACATTTTCAGTTACTTGAAAGTCAATGCTAATTTGTGTGTGTGTGTGTGTGTGTGTGTGTGTGAAAATATGAAC